GGGGGGGGGGGGTGTTTACATATTAGAGAATAATGTGTTTACATATTAGAGAATAATGGGCCAATACCACAGAAAACTGAGGCAAACTAATAAAGAATAGAGAAATAGGCAAACAAAAATTAAAAGAATAGAGAATAATGGGGTGTTAAAATATAGAGGATAACGGGCAAAATAAATAACGAATATTGCAAAATGGTCTAAAAAATCCACAGAATAGAGAAATGAAGGACCCCATCCTCATCAAGACCCTTGATATGCGATGCTGCATACTTACTTCGTTAAGTTTATTAAAATCTGATGTAATTTAATTTTGAAGAGAAAGAAACATAAAATCTCTTGTTATATACTAGTATACGGTGTGAATACGGTGCTAGTGGATTTTCGAGAACTTTCTATGGCAAATCGATAGTATTGATATGTATAAGAACCTTTTCAATAAAGTGTGAGAATTATAAAAACAATGAAATTGATTTTGAAATCGATTTGCAGCTACAGGTAAACTGGTTATAGAAATGGAAAACGCAATGATAACGTTGGCAATATTAAGTTTGACCATCTACACAGTGTCTGCTTTCTGTATTTCAAGCGATTCTAGACAGGACAGTTACATATTCTGTACGATTGCAAACACAGTCGCCTTTTATTTGTGGAATGCTTTGTATACAGGCATGCAGTGAGGTAATGCAAACGCTTCAATGCTGGCATGAAGTAATTGGTATATTTTGGGCTGTATATTCTCAGTTTATAAGCTACTAATGTATAAAAATTAATTGCATTAGCATAAGTAAAATTGGTTAATTTGGTTAATTGATTATTTGATTGTTTTTAACGGCATTTTCTCAGCCATCTTGGTTATATCATAGCGACCATTTGTGATTGGATGTGGAAATCTGAGTAGCCCGGAGAAAAATAATGACCTTCAGCAGGAAAGCATGGACAATCTAATGAAATTGGCTTTATTTAGCTTCATTTTGGGGCCCTTTATAGAGGCTCCCATAGGGTCAATAAACGACCTGCGACCTCCGGGCTTTATAGAGGCGACTTCCGACCTGAGGGCCATCTAAAAACGACCTGCGACCTGTCAAATTTGGAAAAAACGACCTCCGACTTCACCCACGCTAAAAACGACCTTGCCATTTTGGTGCGATGTTTTCCTTTGTGGTCCTTTGTCGCCATTTCGGTTATCCCCAGAGAATTGTTTCGGAAAACTACGTTCTTCCCACCAGTAGAACTAGATCGGGAAGAACAATCGGCTGGCGTCATGACCGATTAGGATGGAAGATCTGATAAAATAAAATGCCCAAATCACATGTCTGTTATTAAACATAAACTGCTGACTGTTGGTCCCACCAACCATGGTCAGCCATACTGTTTTTCTGGCCATCTGTCACACTTTTGTCTACTTTGTTATACTCCACTACACGCAGTAGAGAAGTATTACATGGTTGGGTATCCGTCCGTACTTCCATTTGTCTGACAGTCCCATGGTGGTATCCAGATGAAAACTTGAGACTGGATCAAAGATTTATTTCATTTGTTCCCAATTGTTTAGCATTACAAAGTACAAGTTAAATTTGATTTTCATCTTAAATCAACATGCAGTTTTCAAATAATCAATTTTGAACTATTTGTGACCCTTTTTGTATCTATAGTCGGTTAGAAGTCTTCGTTTCTTTGTTTCTAGAGCCTGATAAGCTATCAAATTGTCAAGTTATGATCATTTCTGGACCATTTTTGTATCTTAAAAAATATTTAAGTTGGTCTGGGTTATTGCTTCAAATAGACTATGGACACTGTGGGCGATGGTCATCACTAGTGCATAGGGCACTAGCTACTAGCGTCTCTGTGTGTGCTCCAATGAGACAAATGTATCCAAGTAAGGTTGATGATCAGTTTCATGTTTTATGTCCCGACAACATTGTTGTGGTAAATATAGTTTTTCGGTCTGTTCGTCCATCCGTTCGTTCACTTTTGTTTATCTTTGCGTTTAAGATGATTTCCTGAAAAGTTTCAAGTCGAATCTTCATGAAATTTTGTACCATACTCTTTATTTATCATGATATGGACTAACAACTGTGTACAAATGGGGGAGTTCCATCGAAAATGGAAATAAGCGCCGACCGGGACACCCCTGTCTTCAAGACATTTCCTTGTTGCCATCAGTCTATAGATCGTGTTCAAAGTATCTCAGTAGGTAAATCCAGCTCTTCATCCTCGTTGATTTTATAAGAGTTCTGGGGACTTGCTCAATATGAATATTGTGTTGGATTAGTGAAGTACTGAATGTTTGGTTGAAACTACTGTTCTGAAAAATCGAAAAGTTCAAGTCCTGTTTTGGTCCCAATATGGAAAAGAACGGATATGGGTTAATGGCACGAAGACATCACATATTGATCATTAAATGCCACACAAAAATAAATCTAGAGCTGACGACACGAACTTCAATAGAGCAGGAACTTCCAACTTACAGACAGCCATCTTTGGATGGCCAAAAAACAAAACAAGAACAACTGAACCCAAGGGCACAGCAAAATGTCCAAATATCTAATTTAAAACTAAAAGGTTTAATCAGGAACATATATGTCCCTGGTTTAATAACACAAGAATCGACACAACAATGACTTAAATCCTTCAAATATAAAAACGACTTCCGACCTCTATGTTGGAAAAAGCGACCTGCGACCTGTACATTTCCCTTAAAAACGACCTCGCGACCTTGCAACGGATTTAAAAGCGACCTTGCGACCTGAGGGGGGTACCCTGTGGGAGCCCCTTTATAGCTTGCTGTTCGGTGCGAGCCAAGGCTCCGTGTTGATTGATTGATTGATTGTTGGTTGCTTAACGTCCAGTGGCAAATATTTCATGCATATTCAGGACGAGAACAAGTTCAAAATAAATACAATAGGTAGGTTATGTAATAGATTAAGGGATTAAGGTCGGAGAAATTTAGACTGCCACGGGAAATGAGGGTATATTGGATAGGGACAGAAATTTAGCCTTGCAACAGGTCACCTACGGACCCCTCAAAGAGTTGTTGCAAGGGTTCTTAACGTGCAAAGAGCGTGGCACTCTCTTTACACGAGGCATCGGATTTAACGTCCCCATTCTGACCGGACGTGGCTGCAAATTTGTACATCCCGCACAGCCAAACGGACGCCCCACTTTAGCACGGGTTTTACTGCCGGTCGGAGGAAGACCAATGGTGACCATATTTCTATTCCCCAGTCACCCTTGGGGGCGCTCCGTGTTGAAGGCCGTACTTTGACCTATAATTGTTAACATTTTATACATTGTGACTTGGATGGACAGTTGTCTCATTGGCACTCATACCACACCTTCTTATTTATATTTAGATGGGTTTTGTGTTTAATATGGAATAAGCAGATGTGGTATGATTGCCATTGAGACAACTCTCACCCAGAGACCAAATGACATAGTAGTTAACAACTATATGTCACCGTACGTCCTTCAACAATGTGCAAAACAATACCGCATAGTAAGCTTTAAAAGGCCCCGAAATGACAAATGTAAAACAGTTCGAACGAGAAAACTATAAACGGCCTAATTTATGACCAAACAATAAACGAAAAATAAATATGATATACAACAACAAACGACAACCACTGAATAAGGGTAATAATGAAAATAAACGAAAATTTAGTTTAAAGGTTGTAATTGTATTCCAACGTTTCTCCTTGTGCGGTACATACCAAAATCAAAAAGAAAAACGACGGAAAAACAAACAATTGCAGTCTACAAAACACAGGACTGAGCAACACGAACACCACATAAAACCAGTGGTGATCTCATGTGTAATCGTTTGTTAACATTTATGATTATATGTATACTATGTAAAATGAGTATGAATCATGACATATGTAAACAATTCCAATTGTATGCATGCGTTACAATTGAAATTTAATGTATACAATTATATTTGTATGTATATATTTATTATTATAAAAATAAGAAGATGTGGTATGATTGCCAATGAGACAACTCTCCTCACGAGACCAAATGACACAGAAATTAACATCTATATGTCACCGTACGGCCTTCAACAATGAGTAAAACCCATACCGCATAGTCAGCTATAAAAGTCCCCAAAATGAAAAATGTAAAAATTCAAACGAGAAAACTAACGGCCTGATTTATGTACAAAATAATGAATGAAAAACAAATATGATATACAGCAACAAACGACATCCACTCAATTATAAGTGTATGTATACAATTGTAATTGTATGTGTACAATTGTAATTGTATGTGTACAGTTGTAATTGTATGTACACAATTGTAATTGTATGCATAAGATTGTAATTGTATGATTACAATTGTAAGTTAACTTATTAACTACAAAACAGCCGTTGGACGTCAGAGTAATCTCGGACTATGCAATGCCGTGGTATTAAAAAGTAAAATCACAAAAATACTGAACTCCGAGGTAAATTCAATCGGAAAGTCCCTAATCACATGGCAAAATCAAATGACAAAACACATCAAACGAATGGAAAACAACTGTCATATTCCTGACTTGGTACAGGCATTTTCAAACGTAGAAAATGGTGGATTGAATCTGGTTTTATAGCGCTAAACCTCTCACTTGTACGACAGTCTCATCAAATTCCGTAAACCCGCGCAGAGGAATATTTAAGTCTTTCTGTGGATTTTTAAGTATTCAACTCATGTATAAATATTTTTGAGCTGTGCATATTCCCGTCATATCATCGGAACATTTGTAAAAATGAAACCACACTATGAATTTCAAGTTATGCGTTTATAAAGTACATTATCCGAATTTGGATTTTGGTTTTCGCGAAAAGGCATTGATGACTCAATCTTTTGATATTTTTATCTGGTTTTTTTTTATTTATACATTTTTTTTCTTATACACTTTTAGACGAATGTTTCATCGATCCGATGCTACTACAGAAAAAAATAATATTCCGGAAATTTACGTTCTCTTATATTGGTACAACTTTTAATGTAGTTTTGTTTATATCCGGAATGAAAGCATGCTGAGAAATGAAAAGCAGTTCAAATTAGAAGTGAATTGTTACAGGAATTTGATATTAAGAGAATACAGTGCTAGATTTAACCGTAGATATAGTTTACACGCTTTGAAATCATTATGTTTACAAGTATGTGAAAATTATACTTTTTTTGTTTAAATACAATTTATCGGACACTGCAGGCTGTATAGGAAGCAAGTTAACTCGTATCACGTAAACTCGTACCAACGTAAACTCGTACCACTGGGAAGTCGTACCAATCAGAACTCGTACCACTGCAAACTCGTACCATTAAAAATATATTCGAAAATACGAATGTTTTATGATTTTTTTTTAAGCTTTATCTGGAACTACTATAACACATAGTAGTCTCAGGCGTTATACAAAAAAATAAAATATCTTATAATTTAACAGCTTGGAATTAAATGTATAATGGTTATTATTAAACGAAATTCCTGATTATCAAAACACAAGCTGACATGAGTTGTCTCAAAGCCCACTTTCCTCATAAAATGGGGCATGTTTGTGAGGTTCCTCATAACCACAATGGAAGACGACAATTGTATGTGGTGCCACTCTCTGGTTAGACCCCAACAAGAAGCAATAGAGTGTGATGTATGTTCTAAATGGCAACACAGAAAGTGCGGAAATATAGGTAGCTACAAATTGGTCTTTGTAATTTCAAATTATATACATTTTACAGACTTAAGAGGTATTGGGTGAAATTAAAGTATATATTCATCATTAAACACCATTTGAATGCATTTAAATAAGTTGGTACGAGTTAACAATGGTATGAATTTACCGTGGTATGAGTAAGCAGTGGTACGAGTTTGCATTGGTACAAGTTTTTTTTAAGTGGTACAAGTTGACATTGGTACGAGTTTACAATGGTACGAGATAACTATAATTCGCTGTATGTACCCATGCGGTCCATTGGAGGTCTTATGCAATGTAAAAATTTTGCAGCTATCCAAAAATTTTCATCCTGGCCTATCCACTACGCTTAACCTGTTAGATTAATTGTTATTTTTTCCTTTCCCTGAATATGCTACATATATAAATTTTTCCCTTTGGGATTCTGAGATCCAAAAAAGATTGAGAATATGTAGTAAGTCATAGATTATCATAATTGCAGGAAATATTTGCAACTGGACATTAAGCAAGCAAAATCAATCAATCAAATTATTTCTTGAATTAAAAAAATGTTACAGCAAAAGAAAATACTCTCTGATTAGTCCTATAATTTATGCCTTCGCATCAGACCTGGGGTCAATAATTGGACATTTTTGTACTTTAAAATTAACTAAGTGAATGGAAATATCCTGAGGCTGACAAAGTAGTTAACTGGTAGAACCTGGGAACAGTACAATGTATATTTCGGTGCATTACATTTTCATGCTACATGTAATTGAAAATATGTTCAATTACACATTACATTGAATTACAGTGAAACTTCTCTAAACCGGTCCCTCTGAATACTGGTTCTCCCCTCATATGGGACAGATCAAGAAGTCCTGGTCAATTTGTATTCAATTAAAAGGTCATGCAACCTTATAAAACTGGACATCAATTAAATTTAAACCGGATACTGGCCGGCATTTTTGTATTTGGTTAATCAAAATCAATAGTATTTAACCTCACAAAACCGGCCTTGTCATATTGAAATGTTATTATATTTATCCTTTGTCATTTCAAGCGAAGCTTTGTATCATTATTTGCAGCTTCCCAAATACACCAGTTTCACATTTAACTGCGCATGTCTAATCTAATTAGCCAAACTATGAAATTCAAGCGATAATTACCGAGAGTTCATCAACTGGGGGCTTACGGTTGATAAGCAGTGACCATGCAGACTTGGAAAAAACAATCATCTGATTAAGTGTTTGCGTTTACATGTCCATGAGCATCATTTGAATCAAAATATAAAAAAAATATATTGACGAGACAACTTTATTAACAATGATACATTGAAAGATTTTAAAACGGACTACTGCTGTGTTGTTGGTTGCAGTAATATACGATCTGATATGCCGCCTGGTTTAATTGTACCTTTAATTGTCACGAATTCACGCTGAGGTCGTTCACTTAACGGGAAGAATAAATTAGATAAATAAGCGGGGCTCACTTCGAATTCATATACATAGTATTAGGTTATAAATTAAGAAGTCAATTAACACCTTAGCCATGTGGAATCCTCGTTTTACCTTGTACAATCTCACCAGGTGACAATTGATAAAAATGTATCCTTTTCTATACATACAGTTACTGAAAAAGGGCGACCATTTGATTAGTTTATTCAACTTTTGTACACAAATATTTCCTGCATTTGTGTTGCAGATTATTCTTTTCCATCCTGCCTTCGGGTCATAATTATTTATTTTAAACTCCTACTGGAATATTAAATTTCTACCCCCACCCCCCCTGAAAATCAAATGGTCATCCCCTAATACAGATGTTTAAAATGTTAACCCTGGTCCCGAATTTACACTGAGATAGCATGGCCAGTAAGGTTAATGCCACTGGGAATATTTTAATAATTTAGGAGGAGGGTGGGTCATTCAGCAGTTTGATATTATTTTATGGTAAAGCGTGGTAAATACAGGATATTCAATTACTTTTAATGGCATGAAAACTGATAAAGTTGAAAATATGTAGAACATTACTCTGGCCACTGCCACTGAACTTCTGCTAAGACGAGGTTGATCATGAAAATAGCTTAGAAATTAAAATGGTATTAAATGCATTGTATTATAGTGTGATGTTTGAAAATTGAAGATAAACCTGTATTTCTGATACATATTTTAAAACTGCCTTATATCTCTTTTTATTATCATGACCGTCTTAAACATCACTGACGCAGAAATATTTGAAACAAATGTACATACAAATAAGAAGATGTGGTATGAGTGCCAATGAAACAACTCTCAATCCAAGTCACAATGTATAAAAAGTTAACAATTATAGGTCAAAGTACGGTCTTCAACACAGAGCCAGGGCCCTTTCTACCATATGTCTATTACAGTTAACAGAAAAGTGTTCTATTTTATGTTATATGCCATGTATGCTAAACAGGATAAAACGCATGGTGACTCAATTTTTTCTGTTTGTATTCTGAAAGCATTTAATAAGAGCTATCTTCTCACATTTTATTTTGAAATTCTATTATTCATTTTACCTTCAAATATTCATATAATGATACCTTAAAAATTTTCTCTGTAGAATCCATACAAAATGTTTCATTTTTTCACAGCATGTAGCTTGAAAACAAACTCGGTGACCTATCATTGTGTTTTTCATATTTTTAACATATCACAATATATACTACATCTTTGACAAAGGATATAAGGAAAAATTCTATCAATTTTCGTTTATACTTCCATACTACCATTAGTGGAAATTTCGATTATTTAGTAGTGCTTGTAACTTGACAATGTCCTTGTACCCATAAAAATTCACACAAAAGTCACCATAACAATAACCTGTTTTTGTTTAAAAGAAAATTAAAAGTTTGGGTCTATGATAATAAACCTATATGTACATGTAGGCCGAAACCCTTTACATGCATGTCGCAAGAAGATGTAAAAAAATATTTAAGAAAAACTGGGAATTGATACTGGAACAGAACTGAAATTAAATGTATTTCTGATGTTTAGGTTGTTTTCTTTTTTTCAAAATATTTTTCTCTTTTCATGAAAAATCAAACTGACATACAGCAATGTACATAGCGCAGTAAGCAAAAAAAAGCAATTACAAGATTAATACTTTTTAAACCCATAAGCACAACTGTTAGGAACTCTTTACAGCAACATGACTTATTTTTTTCGTTTGAATTGTTTTGTGTCGTGACCTTTTGGAGCTTACTATTCGGTATAGAGTTTCTCATTGTCAAGGGCTGTATGGTGACATATGGTTGCTTTCATCTGTCATTTGGCTCGGGTGGATATTTTTTTATTTTAAATTTATGTTATTCTCTGTATAAACGGTCAAACTATTTATTCTGAATATTTATTAATAAATTGTAAAATTGAATAATCTCCAGCATACACCACGAGAGAGAGATGTGTATTATCGGTAGATTTATTATTGTGTTGCTAAATATCAGAGTCAATTTGATGTAGCCCCCTGTCATGTATGATATCGTTAATTATCGCAGGATTTAAACTCAAATGCGCATAAGATTTCGAGATCAGCATTGATAAGTCGCTTATGTGAAACTGGTCTATGATGATGATGGGAGTTTTTAACGACCTTGACTGGCTATACAGCCCTTGCACAGTCGGCCCTGGCTTACGCCTTTTTGGGCATTTAAATAATTTGTTTTTACCATAGGGTAATTGAATAATTTGAGTGAAACTGGTCTATTGTGTTGTTATGAAAATATAATAAAAAAAAAAAATTAAGCATTTAAAGGAAGTAGAGATAAAAAAATTAATTTTCAAAATAATTTTTTAATTGTTCTAAGGTAGAAAAATAAAAGAATTATTATACTGATATGTATTTGCATTAAATTTGTTTTAGATTTAATCTTTTTTAAAAAAAAAACCACAAAATAAAGGAGTATACTGGGAAAGGTGACAAAAAAAGGGGAAGTAACTCAAATTTATTGTCAAACAACTTTGAAATAGACAAATTATTTATGATCTTAAGCTAAGGTAATTGGTGTTAATTAACAGTGTGTTTGACACCAAAGCTATCAAGTGAAGCCATGCACTTAATGGGTCACTTAATTTGACAGTTAACACAGCTACATTTGTAGTTGGACTTCCTGTCCTGGAAGAATTACTAATTTGCTGGTATTTCAAAGGAAAATCACTTATGAAATCAGTCTAAAGGATCAAGAATCCGGGTGATTGGTCATTCTCCAAATTCCCGGATTATTTAACGAACCGGCGGGTATTTAAAAAATCCCAGGTATGGGGTGAAATTCTCGGGTGTCACCCGCAGGATACAGGTCAGTTGACAGGTATGCATGCATTGCTGGAATTTTGTTAAACAGAAATTGAAAGTTATCAATGGGAAAATTGAACTACTCTCTTTTTCTGAAAAGTTTAGTTCTGAAACGACTCTCCTTGTCAATTTCAATATGTAAGTCAAAATGATAGGGGTTGATATGATTAAGAAAGCAACATGTACTCTAAGGAGCACTTACAAATAAAACATTCACATTAATGAATACCTAACGAAAAACAAAGCATTTAAATTTCCGGCATGATAAAAACATAGACAAAAACTGTATAAAAGCATCGCAATTAGATGAAGACTTTAGAAACAATAATTTAAATAGGAAAAGTTCTAAACAAATTGCCATTAGCTCTGCAAAACAATGAATATGACATGTATGTAAATGGAAAATAGTATGATAACCATTGACATATAAAATAGTCATGATAGAGTTTACAGTTAAGGAAATAAATGAAACATGCAACATGATTTTTTAATTCAAATTATTTATTAACATGCATGCTAAAGATTTTCATCTTTCATATTTAACCATAAGAAAGAATGATATAATGGCACCTTATTGTGTGCAATGAATATTGCAATATATAAACAAAAAATATTTATTTTGTTTTATAGGCACATTATAGATACAAGAAAGTCTGGGAGAAAACAAGCTCCAAAAATATCACAAGTGAACAGTAAGTTAGGATGGAAGCATTGAAAATATTTAAAAGATAGCAAGACATTAAATCATTTTAATACATTCAATGGAATACATGTAGAGGAATCATGAGAATAAGAAACAACACAAATGGCCATGTTGAAATTGTTTTAAAAAGGGGAGGGCATTAAAGTTCTATTTCATTTCTTAATGTTATTGAAATCCTTTCTAAACCAAATACTTAACAATTTTCAAAATATTTAACATTTTTATGCCCCCGCCGTAGCGGAGGGGGCATTAAGTTTTACCCTTGTCCGTCTGTACGTACGTATGTACGTCCCAAAATTGGTTTCCGTTCTCTAACTTTAGTTTGCCTCAACCAAATGTTTAGGAACTTATACACAATGCTTATTACCACAAAACACAGATCAAGTATAATTTTGGTGGTGTCACTTTTACCGTTCTAGAGTTATGCCCCTTTACCAATGGAAAAATTGCTGAATTTTTCGTTTCCTTTCTTTAATTTTAGTTTGCCTCAACCAAATGTTATGAAACTTATACACAATGCTTAGTACCACAAAACACATATCAAGTTTTAATTAAGGTGGCGTCACTTTAACCGTTCTAGAGTAATGCCCCTTTATAAATGGAAATTTTTTTGTTTTCTTCTAAATATCAAGTTATTTTTAAAATTGGAGTTATCTTCCTTTGTCCATGATTATAGTTGAATCAACTACAATCAATGCTTTTAACAATGCAATGTTTAATTTTGACTTCCACTGATAAAACACTGATCAGGTTGAATTTGGGTAGTGTCACTTTAACCATTATTGAGTTATGCCCCTTTATAAATCGAAAAATTGCAAAATTTTTAGTTTCCATTCTGTAACTTAAGTTTGCTCAAACCAAACGTTATGAAACCTATACACAGTATTCATTACCACAAAACTAAGATCAAGTACAAATTTTTTGTTTCCGTTTTCTAACTTGTAGTTTGCTTCAACCAAATGTTATGAAACTTATACACAATGCTTATTACTACATAATACAGATTTAATACGAAATTTGGTGGCGACACTTTTACCATTCTTGAGTTATGTCCCTTTATAAACATAAAATTTGCTGAATTTTTCGTTTCCATTCTCTAACTTTAGTTTGTCTCAACCAAATGTTATAAAACTTATACACAACCGTTCTAGAGTTTTGCGTGTTTACAAATAGAAGAATTGCTGAATTTTTAGTTTCTGTTCTCTAAAGTTAGCCTCAACCAAATGTTATGAGAACTACACACACTGCTTATTACCTCAAAACTCAGATAAGTTCAAATTTGGGTAGCGTCACTTTTACCGTTCTTCAGTTATGTCCCTTTATAACTATATGATATGCAAGCGGGGGCATCATCTGTGTCCACATGTGGACACTATCCACATTTATTTTACAATGTATTTGTATTTTTGTGGGTTTTTTCTTTACTGGAATAGGACAAATTCTCTAACAATAATTTAACAAAATCATTCCCATCTCCTTTATTATTGTTAATTAGATGTTTCAAAATTGTCAAGTTTGTATTTGATAAGGTATAGTAAATATTTTTCATTATATGCATGATATGTGACTTACTACAAGATTTCCAGGATAATGGAGGTATGTAGTCTAAAATGGGCTCATTGCATAATAATCCAATACATACTGAAAGAAAACATCCTGTCAAGTTATTATGAAAGATTTGTTGAAACAGCAGTAATACATTTGGGGAACTGGTTCAAATTTGAAACTTGCATTTGATAACATCACAAACTTCCCATAGTGAAATTTTAAAGAGTATCTTGTCATCAATTATTTCTTTATAACTTTATATATACATTTGTATCTTATTAAATACTAAAAATTTACAACATAAGAAAATAATTTGATACCATTTCTTTTTGAATCAGTACATGTATACAGTCAGTATCAAACAAAATCATTACATATTTTAATTCATATGATTTTCAATTCCAGTTATAATTGGAAAAGATTTAGAATCTATAAACCAAAAAATGAAAGGAACAAATAACATGTGACAATTTTATGTTAAAAGAGTTGCTTCTCTGAATTGTAAAATGATTTCTATTTCAGTGGGAGAATATATTTTGATAACTACACAAATGTTTATGGAGGGTAAGTAATTATAAATGAATGGAATCAAGCAGTTGCAAAGTTTCTTTTCCTAAAATATGTAATTGCATATTTTTTGTAGCAAAAGTGGATTGCATAGTTATGTTGATGACTTTTAAATTTTGTTCTGTAAATTGTTTTCAGTTTTAAATTTAAATATTTGTATATTTTTCATTATTTTTAATTTTACTGGTTGACAGAATTTGTTATATTCATAAAACACTCCATTCTTCCCAAAAGGAGGTCATTTGGATTAATAAGCCTTAATATGACAGTATATATGGTCTCTTTGTTATGTGTTCACCAGCTTCACCATTTGAGAGAATGTTGATTCAATCTCAAGCTGCATGTATGTCAAATCAAAGACTTCAAAACTGGAATTTCCTACTTCTACTCAAACAGATGCTTAAGCACACAGCATTTAGGAGTATGAGCAGTCAGTTTGGAGTCATTATAATGTGTCTGAGTAGGATGACATGTCTTTCTTTGAGTTATATTGTGATTTCACATGTTTATATGCTGACTCAGGACTTTGGTCAAATGTAATACTTGACACTGTCCTTTTAACACTGCAGCAATCAATCAAGCTGTTTCCCAATATTCATTCACTTTGATTTTATTTGTATTCAAATTGCCTATATTTGTATAATCTTTCCAATAAAAATTCATTAGGATTTTTGGATTTAATGTATTTTTGCAAAATTTTCACATGTATACAGTAAGTACTTTTAACCTTCTATTTATGACAAGGATGTTTTGTAAAATACTAAAGATACTTATCTCCATTTCAGTTATGGTAAAGGAAACAAACCAAAACACCTTTATTCTTTGACATCCCACAGAATAGAGAATGCCATGACATGTACAGCTAGAACGGTAATGTGTAAGTTATGTATCATTGAAATAAATAATTGTAGAGCTAGAACAATTAAGATGTAAATATATATTTCAAAATTTAAAAAGAAAATAACAAACTGCATCACATTTAGATGAGGTCATTAAAATCTACTTAAAACATAACTCTTTATCAGTGATTAAATCTCTTTCATTAGTCTCATGTTAGCTTGCTTGTTTTTGCAGGATATCATAGGTTCAAACCCCTTTGGAACCAATGAATTTTGAATTGGTATATGCTAATGCTCTGTTAAGCATTTTAGGGGTAAGAGCAACACAGATCTGCTTGGATCCTGAAAAGTGTGTTGTGACAAGCCTTCCTGTGAACTGTTAACTTGTGAGCTAGCAGATAAAACAAATGGAGTCTTCGTGTTTGTTTGAACACACCTGACCACCAGCAGGGCTCTAATAGAATGTCAGTCTTGAAAAAAGGCAGGGTATTAGCAAATTATTCAAGATCCTGAATTTAAATGTAAAATTTGCTGCTGGATTGATTAATTGTTGGTTATGCCACTTTCATCACATGCAGCTATATCATAACAGGGAATGTTTATTGGTAGAGGGAGCAACAGTGGCCAGAGAAAACTACCAACCTTCCACATATTTGCTGCTGTATGTTAAGCTATCAACTTTCACACATTGACATGTAAATCATCTGGTCAAATGAGAGGTAAAGGATAGTGGTCCACATCTACCTGTGCAGCTCTTTTCAGCTGTTTACCAATGGCAAAGTATTCAAAGATCTATCAATGTATCATTGAGTTTATCATTACTCATCTAAAGTTAACTCAAGGTTCTCTGGTCTGTCCGATAAAACTGACTGTAACAGTGCATGAAATTGAAGGATTCTATTTTAATAGTTTTGAGTCCATCAAACAAGCAAACAATCAGCTGTGGTACAATTGTTGTTTGCTTTACCTGGTTTAGGTATTTGTTACTAGTGTTAAATGTTGAAGGGGAAATATTTTGTTATAGGCTAAGACATGAATGGCATTTTTGGGGGAAAAGTGAAAAATTATACTTGTAATTAATGATATGTGAAATTCATATCAATTTTCCTGTAATATGTACAAATCTGAGATATTATTGAAATAGGTTTGCAGGTGTCTTGAAACAGAAATGTTAATTGTAAATTTGTTTTACACTTATAACTATAAGATATGGTAAGCTTTAGCTGACAAATTATGCATTGCTTTCATATGGCATACATCATATCATATTTTTTGCAACATGATCATTGTAAACAAATGTATAAAAACAGTAATAAATCATCCTAATAAAAGTAATCAAACAGCAATGAAAAAATTGTGTGTATATCCAGCCAAAGGGAGATAATTCAATCGATTGTGTGAGAATTTTTGTTGTTTATATTCAGTTTTTTTTCTTTTTTAGGAAGAAATTGGATTAATCCATAATGGAGATAAAGACTGTCTGATTTGTGTTACCAAAGATAACAAAGAGCTTATAAGGGTACACTTGACCTCAGGGAAAATCCTACAACAGATATATCTATCTCCAGTTTATAAATTTAGGTACTAGATTTTTTAGGAAAAGTTTTTCTTACTTTGGATAGGTGTTCAGATTCTGTTTTGCAAAAGTAATTGTCACTGTTTTACTTTTAGCATGGCACAGAAAGCAATTAGATTTTTCTGTGAATCATTTAAAAAAACAAACCATATCTTTTTTCCAATACATCTTTTATTCTTCTTGCATCAACACATTTCTCTATGATTGGTTTATTAATTTTGAATGCAAATGGCTAGCAAAATATTTTAAACACTCTTTTTTTTGAAACTTTTATCTCTTGACGGAAAAAATGTTTTTAACTCGCCTCGAAGAAACTATAGAGAGAGCTTCATGAAATTATAAAAGTTTGTGATAAGGAAAGTTTAAAACTACTAGTGATGAAGAAATGATGTTTGGTATGCAGTTGTAGTAGCATTGGCACATTTAATTTCCATGCAGATTATTTGGCCCTGACCCCTCAGTCATGGTCTATTGACTTAGAAAGGTTTCCATTCTATTTTACGTGTTAAGAGTTTGTGATTATGTCCATTTAAAGGGAAACTCTTATGGTAAGTCAAATATATTTGGTATGCTGTTGTATTAACATTGACACATCTCATTGCCACACATAATGTTTGGCCCTGCAACCTTAGACATGGTTCATTTACTTTTGAAAGTTTTGCATAGTTTATATGTTTTAATTTTAACATTTGCATTATACAATTAAATTTCATGTAGATGAGACATATCTCTGTGTAAACAGTGTAAAAAAAAAAGCAGTGCATACGGGAAAACACAGGGCATGCGCTTATCAGCTATGGACGTGTAAAATATATCTAACCACAAATGGGATATTAAGCTGGATAACGTAAAAGTTAGATGACGAAACTTGCTACATAGCTAACAGACTATATATGTAATGTAAAAACTTCGTAATATTTTACAAATCAATATCATTTGAGAACTTTTTTGAAACGCTTTTGAAACGGGTTCTAATCAAAACAATAACAATGGCGACCTCCATGGCCAAAGAAAGTGAACACAGTTCTGACCATTTGGTAACGAATTCACAACCTATTATTAATTCACCATCTCTGAATATGAACAAAAGGTGTAACCCTGATAGTCCAGATAACCTCCCTGCAACCCAAAAGCAAAATACACGACAGATTAGGCGTCGCAACTCCATAGGCGACCTACGAGATATCGAAAAAAAGACACCAGCAACACGTAAAAACATTACAGACAAGGTCATTGAAGCACTCACCAGTCCAGATGTTCTCAACACAATAATTCCAGTATTGGCTGAAAAAATCAGTGAAACCTTAACTCCACTAATTGAAGAACAAGTGCAAAAATGCATCGCAGCACACGTCGAACCAATTAAAAAGTCTGTCAATGAACATGAAGCCAAAATAAATGACCACACAGAAAAAATATGTAGACAATTCATATGGATAAATAAAATAGACACTCAGTTAAAGGAAAATTCTAGAATTTTGGACCTTTGGGATTCGGAGCTTGAGGCACTCCATAAAAAAACCAAGGATATAGATAGTAGATTAGAAAGCCAAGAGCAGTACTCTCGTCGGACCAGTCTCCGCTTTCATAACATCCAAGTACCAGTTGACGGACACGGAAAAATTCTTCACCCAGTCAATACGGATGACAAAATCCTAAGTATTTGCAACAGCCAACTTGGCCTCGACCTCTCTATTAACGATATTAGTAGAAGTCACGTCATTGGTAAAGCTAAATATGGCAAGTGTCAAGTCATTGTTAGATTTATGTCTTACCGTACTAGAGACATGGTATATACAAACAAAAAATATCTGAAACACAACGAAGATGGTATTTTCATAACTGAGAATCTTACCAAATTCAGAACAGACCTGACAAAAAAACTATCCCAGATGAAATACAACAACCAAATACACGCCTATTGGACTTCAGATGGTCGTATATTTGTTAAAAGGGCTGAAAAAAGTAGAAAGGAACTGATAAATAGCTTTGATGACATCTCTGACATCGAACGGGGCATTACCGAATCACCTAACCAACAACGTTCAGATACTGATAGGAGTCCAGAAACAAATGAAGTTAATAACTCACAACAGTCTAATAATGGAGAGTAAAACTGTTTGAACAAAACATAACTGTTTTTCTTATCTAGTTTGAGCTGTTGAAATAATTGCTATACAATGTATATTGACTTTCCGTCGTTAATACCATAAACGGGTTTGTCTGAACTTGAAAATTTCAGTAGTAGACAGATGGTCTAATCCAACTAAAGCTTTTTTCTTTGTTTTTGTTTTAGTTATCTGAATAATTTCAATCAACTGCTAGTTACATCATTTATCCAACACACTCTCTTTCCCCTGTTCACTTGTACATACAATTGCAACTTATTTCTTTTTTCCACTGATATTAATAATTCCAGGCTTGACAATTCAAGTATAATTTTCAAACTCGTATTGTGACGATGTCTGTTTAAGTTCCTAAGGGACTAAATACATTTGAAAAAACACATAATATGTGATACCCCCCTTTTTTTAAACTGGATATAACAGTGAAAATTTGTTCCCTTTAATAAAAAAAAATAAAAACTTTATTCATATTTAATGCTTTTTTCTCACCTAAATAAAATCAATACAAATAATCTAAATTTAATAAAACATTTTTGTAAACCCGATAGAGTTTACAGCTGTGATGATAAATGTAATATGACTTCATTTTGTTGAAAACTTCAGATGCCTCCACCTTTAAAGATTTATGTAAACAAAATGTTATAACCATGCAAAAACATGCAGTTCACTGACGTATACTCTGGTTTTTGTTTCAAATTTATGATAACAAATACCTAAGTATGAACAACTATATTGAACACTTTTGAATGATATTGAAATATAAAAGAAGATATTATTATCAAAACGTATTAATGATGAAAAAACCTGCTTTACTTTAAAAAATTGAAGCAGTTATTTTATACTGTAAACCCTTACGGCCTCTTTTGACGTTAATTGACACTGAGAATGAAGTTATCTATTTAAATTCGGGTGCGTTTGACTAGAAAGTCCTAAAATATTAAAGACTTCTTGAAATTTGAATTCGCAATTACATATACGAATGTAGCTATATCGCTGTTATTATTATTTTTTGTCTGTACTGCACCATGTAATGTATATGATGTATTTTGTTGTATTGATGTCACTTGTAGTATTTGTTTTCATCTTGCGTGGCTCTATGCATAAATGTTGAGTTTATAGGTGTTTCCTTTACTTATTTAACATCTTTAATTTAATATTTTATTTAGAACTAATAAATTCTTCTCAATCAATCAATAATCCTTAAATGCAATTAGGTAAGAAGTTTGTAAACTTCCATAACCATATGATTTTACACGTAACAACATATCAGTATAATGCTTTTTAAAAAAAGTTCGAAGTCTTCAAGTAGTAAATCATTTCCCATTTCAAATACAAATGCTTTCTCTCATATTCCAAACCTTGTTTCTTTTGTTTTGTATATTTTTCTTTTATTTGTCTTTTTTGAATTTTTCCTCAGTTATATGTGATGATGTGTGTGGTTGTTGTGATTTATATATTTCGTTTTGCTGCCTTATTATATGTATTATGATTTCTATGATAAAACCCAATGGGTAATTGTATAGAACAATATAGGGCAGCTATCGGGTTATTTAACTTATGTAGATGCACTTTTAGACTCGGCAGCTTTAACTCACGAACTAGTGATAGCTCTTTAAAAGAAATATTACTTACCAATTTCAGATGCTCGTTACTCGTCGTCTCTCTCTCACTTCTCCAGAGCTTAAATCCGAATATAGATATTGTTTTTCTGCTATTTGTTTTAAATGTCATCCTAATTATAGGAAATATTGAGACTAATCCAGGTCCGAATATAGATATTATAACTGACTCTACTAGCATAAATGAAACCTCACTATCCATATGTAACATAAACATACGTAGTCTACGAAATAAGCTTAATTTTCTCCAAAACTTTACTGACGAATTTGATATATTAACTATAACTGAAACTCATTTGGATCCAAGTGTTAACATTGACGATTTGCAGCTTTCCTCATTTTCAAAGAATATAATCCGAAAGGATCGTAACAGTGCCGGCGGAGGCATTGTCATCTATGTAAAGGATGATATATCCGTCGTACGTAAAGGTGAACTCGAAAACCACATTGATGAGACAATATGGGTAGAGATTAAAGGTAAAGGTCAGTCATTTCTTCTTTGTTGTACTTATAGACCTGAGTGGACGGACAATGACTATTGGACAAGACTTAATTATTCGCTGGGATTGAGTTACCAACTAAGCGAGAATATTGTGATAACAGGAGATTTGAACTCTGATTTATTTTCAATCCATAATAATAAATTATATGATACAATGAATCTTTTTAATTTAGAAAATGTAATAAATAAACCGACAAGGGTGACTGGACACAGTAGCACATTACTAGACCCGATAATAATCAGCGACACAATTAAATATTCTGTTGCCGACGTACTTAAATTACCGTCGGAAATAAGTGATCACGATGCTTCTTTAATATTTTTAGAATGTCCGAGATTTGCATCCAAATCATTCAAAAGAGAAATTTGGTTGTACGATAAAGCAGATTTAAAAAAATTTTCTTCCGGACTTGATTCTGTCAGTTGGGATGCACTTTTTTCTGATGTTGAGGATGTCGACAAGATGTGCAATACATTTACTCAAAAAATCCTTGACATCGCAAGGCAGAGCATCCCAACTCGACATGTTTATATACGAAACAATGACAGACCATGGTTTGACAACGAGTTAAGGAAAGAAATCCGCAGAAGAGATCGATTTCGTAAAAACGCCTTAAAAACTAAAAAAGATTCTGACATTAATAAATACAAAAAGCAGAGGAATAAAGTAAATAATTTGAAAAAAGCTGCAAAAGAAAAATTTGAAAGAAGCTTGGATAATATCATCTTAAATAACGTGGCTAACCCTAAAACTTATTGGAAGATAATGAAAATGCTTATTAAATCCAATAAGGGTTCTGGTGATTTACCACCACTTAATAATATTATTCACGATGAAAGTATGGAAGATGTAGTGTACGGAGACGACGAGAAATGTAATCTGTTGAATAAATATTTTAGTCTAATTTCTTCCCTAGAGGAGGAAGGTGTTCCCATCCCTGAAGTTGAACCAAGAACCAATATTATTTTAAATGATTTAGTAATTGAAAAATATGAAATAGTTGATATAATTAAAATTTTAGATCCTAATAAGGCATCTGGTCCAGATGTCATAAGTCATAAAATGCTGAAAATGTGTCCTGAAAAAATAGCAATTCCTTTAAAAATAATATTTAATAAATCCCTACAACAATGTAAATATCCCACCAGCTGGAAGACTGCAAATGTAATTGCTTTTTTTAAAAAGGGAGATAGTTCTCTACCATCTAACTATAGGCCTATATCGCTTATAAGTTGTGTAGGGAAAATAATGGAGCGAGTTGTTTATAAACATGTCTTCAATCACCTACATAGAAATAAGTTAATATATGAATACCAGTCTGGTTTTCTTCCAAAATGTTCAACAGTTCACCAGCTTTTAGAAATTTACAACTGTATTTTAAATTCACTAGAAAATAAAGAAATTAGCTGTTTCGTTTTCTGTGACTTTTCTAAAGCTTTTGATAAAGTTTGGCATCAAGGATTGCTATATAAAATGAAGTCATACGGTGTGGACGGGAAATTACTGAATTGGTTTAAAAGTTACCTGAACAACAGACAACAGCGAGTTGTTATTAAACAATCGTCGTCAGAGCTTTGCAGTATTTCAGCTGGTGTCCCACAGGGTTCTGTTTTGGGACCGCTCTTATTCATTATTTATATTAATGATATTGCTGAAAATTTGATATCTTTATGTAGATTATTTGCAGATGACACATCTCTCGGCTACTCTAGTCGTGACACGTCACAAATAAAATCAGTGATCAGTCACGACCTGAGTGAGCTGAGCGATTGGTCTAAGAAATGGCTGATGTCCTTTAACCCAGAAAAAACAGAAATTATGTTGTTTTCATACATTGAAACTCCGGAAATGAATTTCATATTCAATGGTAAGAATATTAAAGTTACAGATTTTCATAAACACTTGGGTGTTACATTTAGTAGAGATGCTAAATGGAACACTCATGTAGAAAGTATCATAAAAAATGTATCGAAACATTTGAATGTACTTAGAAAACTAAAGTACAGATTAAGTAGAAATAACTTAGAAAAGCTATACTTGACTTTTATAAGACCGTTACTCGAATACGCCTGTGAAGTTTGGGATAATATGGGTGTGGGTTATTGTAACAAATTAGAGCAGCTGCAGCTTGAGGCAGCCAGAATTGTAACAGGCCTTCCTATTTTTACTAGTAGTAGAATTATTTATGATGAGATTGGTTGGGAAACTCTAGCTGAACGAAGAGAAAGGAGGAAGTTACAATTATTTTATAATATTCAACATAATAATGCACCAGCCTATCTTTGCAATTTAATTCCACCAACAATCCAAAGTACAGCTGTTTATCCCTTACGTAATGGGAATGATATAATATACCCTTTTTGTAGACTTTCATTGACCCAAGAATCCTTCATACCTTCAACTATACGACTGTGGAATAACCTTAATGTGCTGACCCGCAACATTGACTCTTTAGGTAAATTCAAAACTGAATTAAAAAATCTTAAACTAAATTCAAAAGCCCAAGTACCCAAACATTATAAATTTGGCAATCGTAAACTCAACATCATTTTGACTCAACTTAGATGCTCAGCCTCGTTTTTGAATTATGATCTTAACAGAGTTAATATAATTTCAGATCCGTCTTGTAGCTGTGGTGCTAAGCGTGAAGATTCATTTCACTTCTTTTTTGAATGTCCTAATTATACGAATATAAGAATCAAACTATCTAATAATCTGAACTGGTTACCAGAGAACTCTCTATTAAATTTGAACATCTTAACCTCCGGTGATTCGTCATTAACTAATGATGAAAATGAAAGAATTGTAAAGAATGTATATGAGTTTATTAAAGAGTCAAAGAGGTTTCTAATTGTGTAATACAGCACACTAAAGTGCATATACATGTATATTGTGTACAACCATTCACATCATCACACATCATCTTTTACATATCCAATATATACAATGTATTGTTTGCATGCATGCTTTGTAAAAAATTCTATTGTTATAAATTGTTCATGGGAGAAGACTTCATAAGTTTGATTAACTTGTGTCTCATCCCTTTTGCATATTTAAGCAAATAAAATATGTTTAAACTAAACAGTGTATTCTCTATGTCACTGAAGTAATGTCAAGAATTGTTAATTTATATTTATTTCATTTAAGATATAAAGAGATCTTTTATTTGTGAGATTCAGGCTTCTGTAATATTGTAGATAAATGTCTGTCTTTTGATGATTTCAGAGACATCTCATGGAATGAATCCCAATCATCTATAGTTGTCAGATCTACAAAGTCACATGGCAGTCATAGGCAGGTAATTAGGATAGTATGAAATTCAATACCCTGCTGTTGGTTCACTTTCATCATATTGTTGCCATGAACCGAAGTAATTCCAGAGACCTGAGATCATACATTTAATGCCAAAGATTTTCAATTTGTCACGCTCTGGTTTAAAGTTATCTTTTCTCCACAAGAGATGATCAGATACTTGAAAATTAAATTTTCAAGTCAGAAATTCAGATCAAGTGAACCAATTTTAATTTATCAAAGAATGAACATTGGTTGAGGGAAAGCTTGTAATATTGGAATAAATAGAAAAACACATGTGTCTGTAGAATGGGTGTAATATTGCTTGAATTAGTTTGTAAATACTATTTGTCTTAAAGCTATAAATTTGAACTTTTGCTTATTTAACAATCTGGTAAGGAAAATAAAATTATGTTTTAATGGGTAGGTTCTAGTAATGATTATGTAAAGAATTAATCATTTAAATTGAGTTGCTCTTTAATGCATTGTTCTATCATGTCCTGGCTGATAGTTGTGTTAAGGGTCTTGCAAACCTTTTATTCTGAAATCAAAAAGCTCATATCATGCCATACCTTATTTGTTATATGCTGGAGAGAGAACTGGCATGTCTGGAAAATCTTTTGTATGATAGAAATCAGATTTTTCATAGCTGTTAAACAATTAGGCTAACCATTATTCTCACTAAGCTTATTAAAAGTAACATTAATCTTTGTCATTGCAGACAGACATAGTGAAAGTGTTGGCAGTATTTGATGTTAAGCCTCTTCAGTTTGTTGGAATGATGGAAATTAAGAAGCAGGTTTAAAAATATGGCATTTAGTTTTAACATTATACTTTAAATTTTTTATAAGAATGAAAATAACTTATAATTTAGACACTTAGTAATTATTAGGGCCCCACCGAATGGCGGACGCCCTATAGTGATCAGTCCGTCCGTCCGTCTGTCCATAACAAATTGTGTCTGCTCTATATCTAGAGAACCGTTATGATTTCAAAGTTTATACTTGACATGTATATTAACCAACACCAGAGGGTGTGTCATAATATATGTACAACTTCCTAGGTCAAAAACTTTGGTTTAAGTTGACAACCCCATGTCGTATGGTAAAGATGGTGTCCGATCTATATCTTGAGAACCGTTATGATTTCAAAGTTTATACTTGATATGTATATAAACCAACACAAGAGGGTGTGTCATAATGTATGTACAACTTCCTAGGTCAAAGGTCAAGGTCAAAAACTTTGGTTTCAGTTGACAACCCCATGTCCAATGATAAAGATAAAAAAAATTGACCACACATTATTCACAGCTGGGCCCACAGAGATGGCTCCCATCTCAATGATATCTAGTTTTTATTATTATGATTAAAACTGTGGGTTCATTGTTATTGGTGGGACAACAATTGTTTGTAGATTCCATGGATATTGGTAAAACAAGTACAAATCTTCAGCAGACTGTGGAAAAACCATGAAATCAAATATCAGCAAAAAATACAATTTTTCCTCAATTCTTGAAAATTGGTTACCGTAATAATGAATTCACAATATATTTGCATATTTTAATGCCTATATATTTAGTCTGAGTGATATATTAAGAATACTTGAGAAAAACAGTGGTTAATTTGTTTAGTTGTAATATATATGCTATCATTAATAATTTCTCCTTAAGATTCATGTCAGTAGGGAATATTACCTCTGTTTGAGTATAAGGATATGCAAAGTGTACTTCTGATATGTAGATATTTATGAATATTTTATGTAATACAGGAGTTTGGTACTAATATAGTAGATGCAGGACTTTGTCAGGGAGTACTGATAACCATGCATCAACAATCTGTTGTCAAAATGTACAGCTTCCAACATATTTTGGATATGGTTTGTATAAGTAAAACATCAGTTTTAGTGAATAATTGAGAATTGTTTTTATATGCCCCCACTCCAAAATGTATTTAAAGATCGATTGTATGGTAACATTAAGGTATAACTGTGTAAACTTGAGTAAGTTGGTCTTTATCTACCTACATCTACATTATATTGGTTTTCATTCATAAGAACAAATGATATAAAGATTTCTAGATCTGATTGGTCAATTAACATCAATCTATCTATGAAAAACAATTTTCAGGTGAACATGCAAGGTCAATTTGAAGGATATTTGGTTAAGGTCATTGGCAAAGTTCAAGTTAATTTTTTGTTCCTAATTGTTGTGGTTCTGTAAGTTATTTTCAGGTTTGTAATGTTTAGATATATATTTCATATAGCTGTATATCATTGCATTATTCTGTAATATAACTGGTACCCTTGTTGCAACCTGTAGCATAGTTTATTTTTACTGGAGAAGACTGGGTCATTATGTAAAAGGCATGCATAACAAAATAAAAGTCAATATTTTCATTAGAAACACTCTTTTTGAGAGTATATGATGTCTTCTTGGTTTTTTGTGTTGTCACATTGTTGTCTCATTAACCTAAGAACTTGTCTTTATTTTTTCATATTTATCAGATTATTGTAAATATTGTGGAAAGAGTAAAAAATTATACATACTTATAGGAGAAATGAATTAACCAGACCTTGACTATACATTTGCAATTTAGTAACTAGTCTTAAAATTTATTGTAAGAAACATATAATTTTTATGACATATACATATTATTACAAATAACTTTTTGATACATTTACAGTACAGAACTAGTACATACAAGTTGGATGATGTCATCGATGATGAAGGTCACAGATTAGGACATAGACCTATAGGGTTAAAGTTCAACATTAAAATAGAAGGTATGTTATGAATCACTGTAACTAACAAAGAAAGGAGCAGGTAAAGAAGCCCTTATAAGATTAAAGCTAATCTTCACCATATGTGACTCACCATGATGTTTACAGGCTTATGGAGGTATAACTTCATTGTGAGAAAAACTCTGTTAACTATGAAAGTTACTTCAAATTTTGTTTACATACAAGTTTATTTCTATACTGAATTTTAAGTCTGGATGCTTTTTTGTTTTAAATATGAAATATAATTTAAAGCTATTAACTTAAACTACGGAACTTATAAACAACTACATAAACTTGAGAATTTCTATATAATTTACTTCTTAAAAACATGAAAATTTGAATAATGCACCTTTTCCTTCCATATTGGTTTCATTGGTGCATTGTACATAGCATTTTCTAATGAATATTTATTAAATATCTATTAATGATGCTAAACTACTACCAGTAAATTATTCTCAAATGTTTTCAATGTGTAATATCTCCCCTGATTATGTTCAATGCTCTGGGGTGCCACTTCAATACTTAATTAATAGGGGGAGCCGCTTGGATTCTGTTACCCCACCCTTTTCATATAGTTTAGATTTTAAAAAAATGTATACCTCTTCATATATTGCGTAGGTAAAAATGTAACCTTTTCCCATATTGGTTGGGTTTCGTGTGTGGTGTGTTGGAAAAGTGGAATACCAAAGTGTCAAAAGAGGGAAAATTTGTGGATAAAAACACAGCCGTAACACCAAGAAAGTTACAGGGCTTTTCATATAACAAGTAATGAGAACTTTATTGACCTTATCATATATTTCTGATAATTTTCCCCTCCTAGTCACATATTTTCAAGCTGGAAAATGTGATCTTTTCCAGCGACACGTTCTAACATCTTGTATATAGGAAAGAATATATATATTATAGGTTTTTGAGGTTATTGATGTGTTAACTAGGGCCAATAAACTCACAAATTAGGACTTTAATGTAAAGGTTGTAAATCAGCAGATCAGTTGACACATCAATAACCTCTAGAAAAAAAATATGTTTATTGCTTAAAATACTCATCCAAAACATTTGTTATTTTTTCTTTAATTTTAACTTTCTTGGAAACCCAGGATTCCAATCATATTTATCACACAAGAATATTTCACAGTGAAATTAGAATTTGACATAGTGTTAACGTAGGCTATGAAAGTATTTTTGGCAACATGGTCTATCCATGTGTAAAACAAGGGAAACCGACTAATCACATTTAAGTATTTGTAGATCATATCAGAATTATAATATCATTAATAACTACTATTCTGAAAATTGAATTTGACCTACATCCACTTCATTTGAACTAAGGCGGATAGTTGTCTCATTGGTAATCATACCACATCTCCTTATTTTTATATGGATAGCTCTGAAGAGAATTATCTCAATTTATACCTATGTCATACCTGTATCGTCTGCTAAAATGTTTTTATTGACATCATTTTCAAATTTATTTTGGATGAACATAACTGCAAGTAAAAACATCTATTGAAAAAAAAATCAATGTTGACTTAAAAGATAATTGAACTGCAAGATACTGTTTGTTATATTGTTAAATATTGCAATATTGTTTAAGTTGAAATTTTACCATTGATGATGTAATTTTCCATTTCAGAATCTCCTCCTGTTCTGTTTACAGTTTCTTGTTATGATCATATAGTAGAATTCAGCAACAAACCATTCCATTACTTGTACTCACCTGTTAAAACACCTGAGTACTTTGAAGTCCATTCCTTAGAAAATAGATCACTGGTAAGACAACTTTCTCTACTCATGTTAAAACATCTGAGTACTTTGAAGTTCATCCCTTAGCTTTCTCTAGACTTTACCTTGAAGTTCATTCCTTAGAAAATAGATCACTGATAAGAAAACTTTCTCTACACTTTTTATAACATCCATTTCATTGGAAAACAGATCTTTCATGAGACAATCAGTATTTGGGTAAAGATTGCATGAAATCAAAACCCTATGGTACTGACTTAATATCTATATCTTCAAGGTTGATCACTACCTTTGGTAATTCAAACAAAATAGTGCAGTGAAGTGATCATTATTTATATCCTATCTAGTCAATGTCATACAATTTATTGATGATATGTTATATTTTAATATTTAAGTTACCAAATGATGTGTTTTTGAATTACCTTACTTGTCAAAAAAAAAAAATTTATTACCCCGCTGTAGGTGATGGGGGCATTGAGTGTTACCCTTGACCTTCCATCTTTCTGTCCTACCATCTTTCAGTTTTTCCATCTGTCTGTTCGTTCCATTTTATGTTTCCACACACTAACTTAAATTTGCCTCGTCCAAATTTAATGAAACACATACACAATGCTAAGAACCACAACACACAGACAGAGTTCGGGTAGTGCGTCATTTATCGTTCAAGAGTTATGCCCTTTTTAACTTAGAAAATTGCAAAGCTTGATCGGGGACATTGGTGTCCTCAGTCACATTCTTCCTCTTTTTTTTATGCCCACCATAGCAGAGGGGACATTAAGTTTTACCCTTGTCTGTCTGTACATCCGTCTGTACGTCCCAAAATTGGTTTCTGTTCTCCAACTTTAGTTTGCCTCAACCAAATATAAAACTTATACACAATGCTTATGACCACAAAATACAGATCAAATTTGAATTTGGGTGGCGTCACTTTTACCTTTTAAGAGTTATGCCCCTTTACAAATTGAATTTTTCGTTTCCGTTCTCTAACTAAAGTTTGCCTCAACCAAATGTTATGAATCTTATACACAATGCTTATTACCACAAAACACAGATCAAGTTTGAATTTTGGTGGAGCCACTTTTACCTTTCTAGAGTTATGTGTCTTTACAAATGGAAAAATTTCTGAATTTTTCGTTTCCGTTCTCTAACTTAAGTTTGCCTCAACCAAATGTTATGACTCTTATTTACAATGATAATTACTACAAAACTCAGATCAAGTACGAATTTGGGTAGCGTCACCTTTACCGTTCTTGAGTTATGTACCTTTATAACGTTATATGCAAGCAGGGGCATCATCTGTGTCCCATGGACACATTCCCCATTTATTCATTAAGTTTTACAAAAGTAATGCCTGGTGTATGTATCTGTTATAAAAATAGGTTCAATTACAAATGATCAATCACGAACAAAGGAAGATAACTCCAATTCAAATGATTAACTTGCCTAGCAAAATACAATTAAATGTTGTATTTAAAAATTCAGATTATTGCAAAATGAAAGCAATCTTTGCCCTTCAGTGCTCACAAGCGTGTTGATTACCTGGTAGTATTTCTTGAATTCTTTTGAAGTTCACCACCACTTCCCCCCCCCTTCTTTGAAATAAAGCTTTTGCAAGAAAAAAAACTGTACTTATGTCTTAAAACACCTTAGTACTTTGAAGCTTATTCCATAGAACATGAATCTTTGACTTCTACAATGATTTGAAATGCACATTACTTTAGTAAGAGGAAAATCCCCAGCATGATATTATAGGTTAGCATACATTTGATTTGGCACATTCAATTTATAAAGATTTTCCTTCAAAGCTAAAAGCATGAAGACAATATGCCAAGGTCACATGTCCAGCCCTATAAATGCATAAAATAATAAGATGATTGGTCATAGATGTGTGTGTTTCTTTGAGATTTAAATACAAATTGTGAAAAATTTGCAGAAAAAATGGTCAATGCTCCATTTGTTTTGAGCTTTAACTATTGAAGTACAACTTTTTATTTTAAAATTTCCTGTTTGGTGGTGAACATTTTTTCTTTAGCTTAAATTGTCAAAACTTTTTGATTTCTTGATTTTCTCCTTTTCAATACCATATAGTAATACAAAACTTATTTTACAGCCAAATGATTTGAGTGTGTAGGTTCAATCAACAGTTTTGGTTACCTTGCTTGCTAGCTGAACCATGAAGTCATTATTAGGTTGGGTATACTACCCTCCTTTCAGAGTAGTCTAGTTCTACAGACTGATAGATTGGTTATCTGTTGGACTAGTCTTCTCTTTAAAGACGGTAGTAAACCTTACCTAATAATGACTTCAAGGTTCAGCTAGCAAGCAAGCTAACCAAAGATTTTGTTTGAACCTACACACTCAAGTCCGATGGCTGTAATTGTATTCTTAGAAAATATTTTCTGATAAAAGGAGTTAAAATTAAGTATCTTGTAACACACATAATTTTTTTTCTTATTTTGAATTTTTAAATATTTTTATCTTTGTTTTTTTTATATATAACTTTATGAAAAGCTGCATATATTGTTGTTTTCCAGATAAAAAATGGAACATTAAAGACAGGGATATTAGACTATGCAAATGATCGTTATAGAGCCACATTCTGGGATGATGATTCAGGAAGAGTTTTACACATAGCTACCTCAGTTGTCAGGTAATGTGAGGATACATTTTACACATAGCTACCTTAGTTTTCAGAGGATATAATTTTGTTCATCCTTTTATTGAACTGTTCTGGATAGGCATAAAATAATTTCCAATTGACATTCAGCAAACAGCAATCTCGGTTAAATATAATTTTGCCTTCCATCCAATTTTCTAATGGATTTTGCTATCTCAAACCTTACGGTCTTGTTGGCCGAGTGGTCAAAGTAGTTCCATCTGCAGTGATCACTAGCCTGTAGACTCCCAAGATTTTTAGTTAGAACCCCACTTAATCGACAAGGGTTGCTAGTTTTGCTGCAGCAGGTCTAGGGTTCTCTCCGAGTAATAAGGCTTCCTCTACCAATAAAACTACAAACCTTTATGCATATATTTCTTGTCATCCCATCCCTATCTCATCTTTCCTTCCAATTCAATATTACAACATACAGAAGGCTAAAATGTTCTTATTTCTTTTATATTTCTGTAGCTTTTACAATAACATCCTATAATCTCTTTATTTCATTGTTTTAAATGTTTCTTTTTATAGTTTTTATGACCTAATCACTGTGCCTATACAGGATAATGGGGAAAGAATACTCAAGAAAAGTTTTGAAATGAACTTGTCAAAGGAAAACTCAAAGGTAAATAGATATAAGATGATAAGACTAATTAATGTTTTGTGATTAGTCTGTAATCTATCTTGCTCCTTCAATTTACTGGATCATATACTATTCAGGAATTATTGCAATGTTTTTATCAATGCATACAATGAGACTGAGTGAGTGTCGCAATAATAAGAACTTGTATTCTAATTAGATACATATATCTCTATGCAGATTTTTCTGAAATCTCAATAATTAATCTTGCATTTTTGTCTATTCGTCAAAAATCACAATAATAAATGCATGCAATGATTTCTGAATTTACAGTATAACATATCCTCATCTCAAGTCTGTTAGAAGTACATGATAATCATTATGAGCTTGCTTACACTATCATCTGTCATTCAAAAGTTAACTTTTAAAAAATTCTGTTCTAAAGTTGATTTACTAGATTTTGTTTTCTTGGTTAAAATTCTATTCTGACATCGGACTCGAACTTCTTTTAAACTGAGTTTTACTGTGCATATTGCTGTGTGTTTGTTTATTCTACATTGGCTAGAGGTATAGGGGGAGGGTTGCGATCTCATAAAACATTTAACCCTGCCACATTTTGTGCCTGTCCCAAGTCAGGAGCCTCTGGCCTTTGTTAATCTTGTATGTTTTTTAATTTTAGTTCATTTATATGTTTCGTTTTTAGTGTGTCGTCCATTTTCATTGAACTAGTACACATTTTTGTTTAGGAGCCAGCTGAAGCTCGCCTCTGGGTGTGTGATTTTCTCGCTGTGTTGAAGATCCATTGGTGGCCTTCGGCTGTTTTCTGCATTTTGGTCGGGTTGTTGTCTCTGACATATTCCCCATTTCCATTCTCAATTTTAACTTTGATAAAGATTTTGTTTTCATGGTTAAAAGTTTTTAAAAATTGAAAAGTACAAGTTTAAACAAGGTTAAAGTACAAGTTTGAAAACGACTTTGTTTTCTTTATGAAAAGTACGATCATTTTAATCATTGAATTAGACTTAAAAGAATGGATTTTAACATGATATGTATAAGAATTATGACTTATTCTGCCATGCAAAGGATGCTTTACTTTGCTTATGCCATTGTTAAGCACATAACTTAATATGTGCCATACAAAGAGTTAATGAGTCTATGTGACATTTGTTAATTATATGCCAAGTTATGATTTTGACCCAGATTTTACAGCTAGCTGAACATGAAAACAGGATAGGGCAAGTGTGGTATGGTGTTGTATGGATATATTAATATGAAGTATTTGGAAACAGATTTGTTGTATTTCAATTGAAAATGATTTATTTGTATATACTTATAGGAAGACATTCCCTATACATCATCAGGGAGGAGAGTTAGTAAGCCAAAGCGTCAAGATAGTGTTAATACAGATCAAAATATGGTAATTATGTTTTGCAATTTTTGGAATATGAAAAAAAAGAGTAAGGTTCTAAGCTGTAATATGATACTTAAAAAATGAACTATTTTGTACAAATTACTGAATATATATATATATATTGATATTGACTCAGTTACAAGGTGAGCAGATGGTTTGGGGCCAATATTATTTTTAATGGAAGTCATTTTTGTCAGATTGTCTAGTAAGATTACCTGAGTTGCTTCATATGTGAAAGGCCTTGTTTGGTATTTGATGGCTTTCATCTATGAATGAAGCATTTAAAGAAAATTTAAATTAGAATATATCAACATCATATACATAAATAATGTGAGCAACAGACATGAAAACCATTACACTATAATATTCACAAAATAATGCTACTATAAATTCAGAATTTTTTGCAATGTTTTTATTATTTCCAAAATTGCAATATGATTATGATAGAATTTTGAAAAAATCAAAAAATCATATTTTAATTGTATGGAGTATTTTCTGAAATCGCACAAATAATTTCACATTTTTGTCCATTGTTTAACAATTGAAATAATGAATGGATGCTATTATTTCTGAATTTTCAGTAAATCCAAATTTTCTATCATCCTGTCTACTCTGCAGAACCTACATTTTTATTCTTGTACTGAATAGCATAACATATTAACAAATTGGATTTTAATTTAACAACATCAGTATATCAACCAAAGGATGAGATATGTCAACTTTAGTACAGAAATGTCAGTTGTGATCTCACTACAATATCATTACATGTTGAAATTTACATATTTTTAGCTATTCTGGATATTGTATATGTAGTTTGGCAAAATAAGATATGAGCAACAGTCTTGTCCAAAAAGATATTTTACCCACATTTACATCTTTGAGCAACAAATGTTAAAATATGTTTATTGTAAACAGATAAATTTTGACATCAGTTTTATTGCTATTGTGAGTGTTGATAAGTGAAAGAATTAAAATACTGCAAATGTTATGGAAACTCTATTCCTTGACAACGACTGTACATGAATAAATGCCACCAGGAAATTTTGAATTTAAATTCGGTCAGAAAATCAGGAATAAAAAAATGGACCAAAAACTTTCCAAGTTTTGCACAGTCCTGAAAAAACAATCATTTGGCCATTTCAACTTTAAACAAATGTTTTTTGTAAGGATTTTTAAATTTATATTGATATTGATGCAGGTGGGTCTTCACTGTTGGTAAGATAGGTCATGATGGGCAGGCCAGTCCTTTATTTATGGCAAGCAGGAGCACTGGTTGCTAAATAATAGAATAGACTATTGGAAAACTCAACACTAATAATTTTTTAACTTTTTTGCAGACAATATACAATGTTGATTATGAGGATGAGCTTGACATAATAAGTGTGACAGCAGTATACCATGACACTGATGAACCAAGAGGAGTCATTTGTTTCTATGACAACAAAACTGGAACTCTTCTTAAAGAAATAGATATTGAAGAGCCATGTTCTGAGGTAAAAGGTTCTTTTGAAATTATTATGTCTTTAATTCTACAAAGAAATAACAGGATTTAACAAGTTATTGAGCATTCAATTGTCCCCTAACATTATGTAAGAGCACAATATAGGAACAAACTTTAAAAATAAGTGGGAAATGTTTCGACTCATCAGATAGATATCAAGCGCAAAACAATTAAACAGAAAGACAAAAGACACAAAGGTTCCTATTAAAGTGAGGTAACAGATACTGAATGAAAGCTGTTTTTTTTTGTTATAACACCAAATATTGTCAAATGAAAATGTTAACAAAATCATAGTCATAATTTTGTTTCCTCTTAAAAACTAAATTTCACACATTTTTTGTATTTACAAAAGAAAATAAAAGTAGTTATTGCTCCCTATTCTAAATTATTAAAGTCAAATAAGATTTTTTTACAGCCTTATTGAAAATTTTCTAGTAAAATATAATTCTGAAAATATTTGGATTATCTGTTTTCTTTGAAATTGTTTTCATGTTTATCAAAAAAAATTCTTACTGGCACCTCTGATTTTTTCCCTAATAATTGGTGTTGCTTAAAAGTACTTTGTGAAACTATACCCTGATAAATATTTATGCATTTATAGTAGTCCTAATAAATATGTAATTTTTTACAGATTCATGAACATAGGACTATGATTGATCTGGACACAATAGTACAGATAAACAAATTATGGTCTGGAAACTTCCACTGTAACGTGTACAGATTGACTAATGATGAATCAGACAAACAGGAAGTGAAAAACAAACCAGGAAGGAAAATATCTAGAACATATCATAGAACTAGAAATAGATGAACATACAAACCAGAAAGTTGTGATATTTTTATGCCCTTGACATGAGGTGATTGTTGTCTGTCTATTGCTGTGGTAGAGTTGTCTCTGTAAATCAACATCAGTCTATATTTCCCCAAAGTCTGAATACAAGTTCTACTGTTTCCATATCTCAAAATCTATGGATATTTCTCATCTATCGTTTCTTAATTCATTTCTTTTTATACCCTGCTCCAAAGAAGGGGGATATACTGTTTTACCCCTTTCTGTCAGTCTGTCTGTCCAATGAAAACTCAGTTGGAATGTGATGCATTTTTATATCTATTGCTTGTCAGCTTGCTGTTAACAAAGCAGGGTTATCAATAATGAACAGAAGATCAAAGTTCAACTTGATTTGAACTCCCCATCATCTTTATTATTACAAGAATTTCTAGTTTATATAGAAATAAGGAGAGGTGGTATGATTGCCAATGAGACAACTATCCACCATAGTTATAGATAATTGTATGGCTTTCAACAATGAGAAAAAACCCATACCGTATAGTCAGCTATAAAAGGCCCAAACATGAAAAATGTGAAACAATTCACTTGAGAAAACTAACGGCCTATTTTATAACAAAACAATTTACGAAAAACAAATATGACGGACATGAACCATCGACAACCACTTAACTACAGGCTTCTGACTTGGGACAGGCACATAAAGAATGTGGCTGGGTTTAACATGTTTGTAAGCACTACATCCTCCCCTAACTTGGGGACAGTAGTGTTACAGCACAACATAAGAACAAACTGTAAAAATCAGTTGCAATTGGCTCAACTCAAAAGATCTGTACGAGGCACGAAAATAATCAACATAAAAACAATAGACACAAAGCACCGAAACAAGAATCCTCGCAGTTTCTGAAAGATAGTTTAAAACTAACTACTACTAATAAATAAATCATGTTCTCCTTAACTAAAGTATCAATCATTACACATCCAAAGGATTTAGTGTAAAGATGTCAAACAGTCTGAGAAACACATGATCTAGTGCAATGCCAAAATATAAGTAAAAGGTATTGACAGGATGTAGGATCATATATAGCAATATAGAGTGATTATTTAATTTTTCAAAAACAAAATCATTGTTAATACCAATAAATATAATATTTGAATATTTCACTTCTGTGTTAAGTTGATAACCTTTAAGAATAAGTTTATTCAAAGGATCAATTAGTTTACATGGTTTGTTCGAGTTACAGGAGTAAAGTTGTTTTCCCTTGAATTTATGTAAGGAACAGATCAAATGTGTATTTTTACTGATATTTTGTCTGAGGATAACTGAAATCAGCCAGAGAAAATGTACTTAAATGGATTTGAGATGAAACAAGAAAAATTGTCAACTTGTTCTGGATATAATTTAAGGAAGACAAATTATTTACTTGCACTTATAAAAAATGCCACATTGTGGCAGGGTAAGAAAAAGCTGACTGCAACTTGTCACTTATAGACCACCTTTTAGAGAAATTGACCATTTGTTGCAAGAGCAAGAGTGTCCAAATGTGTCATAGAACATTTATAAATGATTAACATTTAATTGTCAAGAAAATAAGAATTTATAATGATTTTTTTATACATGTACATGAATGTAGGCATAACTGAAACTTATACTACTCTTGGTGTGGTTAGATTCAAATTTGTACACTTTTATTTTGTTATACATTTAAATTAAAATGTCCAATGAGAAAATTAGTGGAAAATTAATTTTTATGAACAGAATTATAAAAGTAACATATAGCTTCATTGCTTTAGTGAATATTCTTAAAACATTGATTAAAACAGTTTTTTTGAAATAAGTGGTTAAACAGCATTAATATTTGGAAATCAACAATAAAAATTTAGCTGAACATGTGCATTTGAAAATTTAAACCCTTGGCTTAAATTTTCTAGTACATTTTGTGTATTATTATTCTCTTAAATGACCTCCAAGGGATGACCATGGTAAAGAAATATGGTCAACCTAGGCTTCTTCAATCCAGCAGTTAAACTCATGCTGGGTTCATGATCAGTTGGCTGTGCAGAACGTTTGAATATGTGTAACCTTACTTAATTTTTGCATGTAGATATTTCGATACTTGAAATACACTTGGGTTTTTAGTTTCTATTCAATTAGAAGTGAAACCCTATGGTAAATAATTCACAGAATTTTTACTAGTGTATTCTTTCCACAAGTAAATTGTACACTTCTGAAGAAGATTCACTGTTACATTTACAGCCGCATTCTGTCAGAACGAGGACCTTTAATCTATAAATCCTATTCACCTTTCATTCCAGTCAACTCACTTTGCAAAATCTATCTTCCGTCTATTGTTAATTTGTGTTCGTCATGAATATGCATGAAATATTTGCCACTGAATGTAAAGCAAATATTTATCAAGCAATCGATGCTGTAGTTTCATGAGGCTAGAAATCATTGAAGACAAAGGCAATGTTTTATTTGAGTCATGGTAATCAAACAATATTTTGAGAATTTCTTGGTGAGATTTTATGTACTTTATAGGATTTGTTCACTGAAATATCAGTAACCTGCATTTTCCATAGTTTGTATTCCTAAATAAACTGAATGTCTTGCTGTCAGTAAAGGATGGAATCCACTGTTTAACATGATTTTACATAAAAACTTGTGGGTTTGGCTGCCTAAAGGCATATCTGTCAATAAATGTAAATGGGAAATCCCACCATGACAGGTGCTGGACTCCAAATCTGTCAGTGTCCCGAATTTTAAAAGCCAAGCCATGGCAATTATCAGGTTTAACCACCTGGATAACTTTTTGATGCAAAATGAATAACAAAAACATCGTACACTAAGGAAAACTGAAAAGGGGAAGTCCTTAAAACCGACAAAATCAAACGCCGTCAACCAATGGAACGAGTGAAAATCAATTGTCACATTCTTGTCTTGGAACAGACCTTTTCTGAAGAAAATGGTGGGTTAAACCTGTCTTTATAGCTAGCTAAATCTCCCACTTGTATGACAGTTTATAGTACCGTTATATTGACAAAATTGGGTGAGCAACTAGAACAGACGCAATAGGTTAATGCTGGAACTTTTATACACAATATATTATGTCCCAGGTTAATGTGGCAATAATTGGGATCCTGCAGACAAACTGTGTAAACATGCAGCACAAACATACAACACACTAAAAAATTCAAACAAACATACAATTAAATAAAACAAAGACGCCAACAAAAGGTTGGTGTAGTTGATAATAAATCTGACAAAGACGCCAACAAAATTTTTTTTGTAGTTGATATTAAATTGACAAAGAGACGCCGATAAAAAGATTTTGTAGTCGATAGTACATATGTTATATGGTATACACTTTCTCGATAAAGTACAAATTAAGTAAAATTTTAATACAAGGGTCAACAAAATCGAAACAACACTATAACAACCCCTGGTTTCCGAATAGCACATCTGGACCCACCTGCCCTTAAATCGACCAAAGTATGAAAATGATAGTGGGATGCATAAATAAGAGTCCCGTCGAAAGTCATACAACCAAAAGAAACATTATAGCACGAAGACCAATAAAGGGAACACTATAAGTGAATAAACAGATCACTTCATCACCTAGAATCTATTACTTAAGACTATCTTGTACTATTGTGAAGATGACACTGAATATTTATCTATTAGAGCTTGGTACTTTCCGGTGAACTATTTAAGAAAAAGAACGCTGCAGCTGCAGGCTCTTGAATATCGTACGAGTTGAGAATTGTATACTCCATACGCAGTTGAAGTTGGTATATTACTGCTAAGGTGCGGAACATTTATAATTTCGAAATTGTAATCGTCTCGTCATAGAATCTGGTACTTAGATGATTAAAAATTTGCTTAAACTCCCAGGACATTTTGTTAACACTTCAGATATTAAAATTGTTAGAATTCGTTATAAAGGTCAGCTTAAAGAAGCTTACATGATAATATTTTCACCAGATGACTTCTAGAAGGGAGGTTTGGATAGAGCTTGTTTTTTATGAATAATTTCAACAAAAACAAAAAAGAGAGGTAGAAGAATCAAATGGAACATTAAAAAATGATAAAGTCGATGAGAAACCGATAACGCCGTGGCCAAAAAGAACAAAAAGACAAAAAGTTCACAAAACACTGCATTGATTACTAAAGACTGAGCAGCACGAACCCTTACACAAACCGGAGGTGATCGGGCTCAAGTGATCTGGAAGGGTAAGCATATCCTGCTCTACAAGTGGCACCATCTTCTTAAATTACTATTAAATATTATGATAGGTTATATCAAGTGATTATGCATCCCACAATATCGGATTGATAATTGACTCCTCCCTAAAATTAAGACATCACCAAATTCGTAAACCATCGGTCATCTATTTTTTTTCTAACCCTAAAACTTGACCGAAGCCGACATTTTGAAATTGAAATACATTTTCAAGACAAAGCACAAAGTACAACACTGAAAGCAAAAGCATAATTAATCCGATCCCTGTTTAGCATGAAGGTAAGCAGATTCTGCTTTACGTATGTCACTCATCATGTTGTTCACGTTATAGACAATATGATCTAATATTTTTGGAGTACATTATCATATAACGAAGACTTACTTATCATGTTTGCGTTTAGTTCCAGTTGACCAACTATTGGAGGAATAATGACTTTTTGACTTGAAAATTTGTCAAGACCATTTTTTAAGAAAGTGTTTGGTGCATTAGTATATTATGCCGGTCTAGTATGCATTTTGTTCTGGTTCGCCGACTTTTCATAATAAGTAATACCGTTAAAAGTTGGTCAACTGAAACAAATAACAAGATACAAACTTAATCTGTAAATCAGCATTACAGTGGGAAATCTAGTGAACGAAAACAAAAGAAAATTCACTCTAAGACTTATGATAGAGTCGAGAAAGTCAATAATAAAACAATGCCGGTGACGATACTGATCAAAAGTTATTTGTACATTTTAAAGAAAATGTTTGTTAAACTGTGTTATTAGAAAAATACATGCAAATACTCGATGTTTTATGTTCAGTATTTTTGAGATAATTGCATTAGAAGCTTGTGAAACTGAAATTTAAGAAATGCCAATCTTTGCTGCATATTGATAAAAAAAAAAAAATGGAAAAAATCATGTACATACAAAATCTAAAGATCTTTCGGGTCACCAATTTTCGGAGTGTTCCACAAAGTCCTTAGCATGTTACAATTTCCCAAAGTATACTTATTTTTTCACACCTAAGTTATCGAGCACACCGGTCTGCTCTTGTCACATGTACATTCAATAGAGAAATATTGTCTTTTCGTGAATATGAAAATTTAAAAGTCTGTCTGTGCAGGTTAAGAAATTAAAGATAACTATTCTTTAATAAAGTAGGTATCTTTCTACTATTTTTTTTATACAATTTTAAGAAAAGGTCGTCTCGATTTCTGTACATGTATTTGCGGTCTTCTCGATCTACTCACATTCAATGTTCACATCGAGATAAGGTCCGTTTGAATTTGCTTAGTAACTTAATTTCAAAAGTGCCAATCTTTGCTGCATATCAATCGGTTTGAAGGATGGAAATAAATATTAGATATATAAATATTGACGGGGACATGAAATATATCAAAAGAATGATTGTAAAGAGTGATATAGATCAGATATAACGAAAACTGAAAATTTTAACTTCATTAATACAAAGGCTACAGGGTACCTCAAAATATAATAGTTTAAAATGCTTATTTAATGTAAATGTTGTTCAGCACTTCAAACAGGCACGGGTATCTGAGGCAAGACTATTTTTTTTATTTGAACAATGAAGCCTTCCCTTTTAATTGAAGTCATAACTGGGGGTTTCTCTGTCTAAAATAAGTCAAACTGAAAGTTTGACTATTCAAACTTTAACCTTTATCAGCAGGTTAAACCAACCGTACCACCTAAGCTGATTTCAAAATAACGCAATAATTTAAAAATTCCATCTACAGAAAAAAATTGTATCCAACGGCTCAACTTGGTATTGCCAAAGTGGTTCACTGTGACAAAAAAAAACATTTTAGAAATATAATTATTAAGCACCGAGAAATGTCATAGAATCGATAGAAAAAATATCAAATTGTCACTTTAGCACATAAAATACGTTGTGTGACGTCTGTTTATTACTGAA